GAATGTTTAGTCTGTCCCAGAAAATAAATAACTCAAAATGGCATTTTTTAAGAATGACAACATAAATTAAAAACTGTAGTCAGGAGCAGTTTTCTCGGCAGAAAATATTCTTTATTGAAATAAAATTGTTTAATTGCTGATCCAAATGGGCTTGAGAGATCTTTCAGGAAAAGCTTCAACCTCTCCTACAGAAGTCCTCTATGTTTTCTTTTGGGGCTATGGACTCAAGCACACTTTCCCATTTGGTTTTCTGAGAACAAAAAGAGAACAAAAGACCTGAATGCATGGTACTCAAGATGTTGCCAGCCTCACACTCTTTTCTTCTCTCTAATCACAGGCATGCGAAGCAGACAACGAACATGGTAAGGATTCAGGGATCTTCCTTCTACTGAGGACTAATGTGGTTGATGAAGGTGGGGTTCTCTCTCTGGCTCTGGTTTGAGAGGCCCCCTGATGCTGGATTCTTATAGGGGTGAGGGCTGGGGGTGCAGAGAAGTGACTGATCTCCCAGGATGCCTGTGTTCTATGGTCCCTGGAACAAACTACATCATTTAGATGCTGGGGGTTTGTGTGAATCAGGTCCCACATGTGGGCCCATGTGTTGTGATTCTGAAGCTCTCTGTGTGTATTGTGTGTTTCCTCAGAGGTTTCCCTCTTACACAGCGCAAGTCAACTGTGAGCTTTCTAAACACTTGTCATCACCACTGCACACTGGCTATATATTACCTGATTCTTTCCTCAACTCAGCCATTCCTCAGGTTGGGTTAATATTCATTCTCCCCAAATGGAGGTGGTGCTGAGAAAAATGGCCCAAGCTCTTGACCTTGTAAGTGGAAAAGCCAAACTGAGAACCTAGGGGTGGTCCCAGTGTTATGGCTCTGGATCCCTGACCTGCACTTATCACTCAGTCTGGAAATCCTAGTCATGGAGCAAGGGGGTTCCATGCATCTTTGTTTATGCCTGGACATACTAGCACCTTTGGAGTTCCAGACCATGCCCATCCATCATTATAAGGTGGGCTTAGTGGTCATGGAACCCAGGGCAAGCAAAGGTGGATTAACGCCAACTTTGGCACAGATATTAGTGTGAAAGGCACCTCGGGACTCACATCCTCCTGATCAACTCAGATTCTGAGGGTTGTGTGGCTTTGTGCAGACACTGTAGTTCATATCTGCTGGTGCTACTGTCATTGCTTAAACAAGGACAAAAGCAGATTATCATCAGGGAGATATTTTATTACACTGGGTGACGTTACCATAAGCCTTATATTGATTAAACCCTATAGCACACACTCAAGGGAAGGTGCCAAGTAGACCTCACGGTGGAACTTGATAGCTAACTTGATAGCCTAGTGACCATGACTCTTGTTATAAATCTCCTGCACAGCTGGGTCAGAGACAGCATTCACCTCATGGTTTCTCTCCATAATGAACTGACCCAAAAATGTACGAATCGTTTCTGTGAGTGTGGACAGAGACTGATTCAGTGGAGATGCAAACATTGTTTTGAAAATGAAGATTGAAAAAAAGTGTCACATGATTGATTATAGCTATAGGAAAGTTAGGGTTAAAATCAGTCCTCTAACAGTGTTTGCTCTTAATGAAGAACAGTCTCATAGAAAACTTGGTAAGTACAATTGTGTAACTGGGGGTCCTCTGGAGGCAGTGATCTAGGAAGAAATCCAGAAGAGCGGAGCAATTTAGCAGAAGGTCTAACCAGGCAGGAGGGTCACGGGTCTCTGCCATTGAAAGCTGGCATGCTTTTTCGTGAGTTTTTTTTTTTTTTTATCCCCTTTGGTTAGGGTATCGCTAGTTAAATGCAGAAGCTCTGTTTCTTTTTTTCCTGCTCCTCTCTTTTACTCTCCTCCATCCAGGAAAGAGCATTATTTAGCAGTGGCTCAGTCCATAGTTACTAGCCTCCCTTATGCATACACTGCACCACATGTCCCCATTTAAACAAACAAACAAGCAAACAAAATGCTGAGTTATTGGTGAACAGGCTCACCAGTGTCCTGATAGCTACTCTGTGACATTCCAGGTATCCAGGAGGACCTGATTGAGGAACTGCACCAGGCCTGGGCTGAGGAACAGTCTCTGAAAACCCTGAAGGTAAGTTTACCTACCTTTATCTGGGACATGACTGTTGCTTAACTTCATTATTGTTTATTCAGCTGGATATTGTTATAGTGATTTCACAATGTACATTATCACTGATGTATGCAATTCTTTGGATGGTGAAATATTGAGGATAAATCTATTATCAACACAGATCTTACTCAAAAGGACATTAAAAAAAGACAGAATCAGTTACTGCACCAGACAGCATCAGGTACTTTGTTCGGCAGAAGTTTTTCCTTCTTGGAAAATAATTTTGTAATTGTTGGTCAAATTAAACTGAAAGATCTTACATGAAGCAGCCTAACCTTTTCAACAGGGGACCTCTCTGTTTTCTTATGGGGCCATTGACTAAATAGTTTTAGTTATCTGAGGACAAAAATCAGATAACTGAAGACATAGTTCAGAGAACACAAGATGTTGATATACTCCCACTGTTTTCTTCACTCGCAGGCATACAGCGCAGTCTGTGAACACGGTAAGTATTCAGGGATCATCCCTCTGCTGAGGAACAATCTAGCTGATGAAGATGGGGCTCTCTTGTCAGCTCGTTGGAGAGTCACCCTGATGCTGGATTCCTGCAGGGGCTGAGGGCTGGGGGTGCAGAGAAGAGACTGATCTCCTAAGAAAGAACAATGTCTGTGTTTTACAGTCTCTGGAAACAACTACATCCTTTAGATGCTGAGGGTTTGTGTGAATCGGGTTGGGGCCCATATGTGGACCCACGTGGTGTGATTTTGAAGCTCTGTGTGCATGTGTTTCCTCAGGAGATGTTTCCCACTTACACAGCATAAGTCAACTGCAAACTTTCTAAACACTTCTCATCACCACTGCACATTGATCATACATTACCTGATTCTTCCATCAACTCAGTCATTCCTCAAGTTTGGTTAATAGTTATTTTCCTCCAGTGGAGATGGTGTTGAGAAAACAGGCCCAAGGTTTGACCTCCAGTATTGAAAAGCCAAACTGAGACCCTAGGGGTAGTCCCACTGTGACAGCTTTGAGCTCCTGACCTGCATTTTATCACTCAGCCATGCGGTCCTCGTTCATGGAGCCATGCTGTCCCTGCATCTACGTCCATGCCTGGAGGTACTAGCAGCTCCAGAAGTTCAGACCATGCCCATCATTGTCAGATGGGCTTAGTGGTCACAGAACCCAGGACAACCACAGGTGGCTTAACACCAACATTGGCACAGTCATCATTGTGAAAGGCACCCCGGGACTTAGACCTGCCTGATCAACTCACAGATTCGGAGAGTTGTGTGGCCTTGTGTAGACAATGTAGGCCATATCTGTTGGTCCCTCTGTCATTGCTTAAACAAGGTCAAGAAGAGATGAGCATCAGGGAGATATTTCACTGTACTGGGGGCAGTACCATAAGACTTACACTGATTAAACCTGGCAGCACACACTCAAGGGAAGGTGTCAAATGGGTTCACAGTGGGACTTGGGAGTTAGCCTCGTGACCATGACACTGGCTGTAAGTCTCTGCACACCTGGGTCTGAGAAGTTCCCCCATGATTTCACTTCACAATAAACTGTCCCACCAAATGTATGACTTCTGTGAGTGTGAACAGCCACTAACTCTGTGGACATGCAAATATTTTTTTGGAAAATGAAGATTTGGGAAAATGAAGACTGGGAAAAAGACTGGGGATTGATAATAGCTATTTGGCAAGGTAGAACTGAATTCAGTCCTCTAACAGAGCTTGCTTTTAATCAAGAACAAAATCTCATAGAAAACTTAGTAAGTACAATAGCTATAACCTGAATCCTGGGGAGGCAGTGATCTAGGAATAAACCCAGAAGAGAGGGATGATTTAGCAGAAGCTCTGAATAGGCAGGAGAATCACAGGCCTCTGTCATTGAAAACTACCATGCATTTTACTGTTTCTTTTTTCCTCCTGGGTTAGAGTATCACTAGATAAAAGACATAAGCTCCATTTCATTTCTTGCCTGTTCCTCTCCTTGGCTCTCTTTCCTTCAGCAAAGAGGATGATTCAACAGCAACTCAGCCCATAGATCCTAACCTTCCTTAGGCATACACTGCACTCGATGTCCCCATCAAACAAAAACAAACAAAAAACACTGAGAGATTGGTGCGCAGCCTCACCTGAGTCCTGATGGCTATTCTTTGTCCCTCTAGCTTCCCAGCAGGTCGTGGTGGTGGAAGTGCACCGGGCCTGGGATGAGGAAGAGTCTCCGAGGATCCCGAAGGTAACCACAACTGTCTTTATCTCAGAGAAGCCTGCTTCTTCACTTCTTAAATTTTTATTCAATGGAATGCAGTTATAGTAATTTGACAATGTACATTATCACTAATGTATACAGTTCCTTGGCTGGAGAAATATTGAGAAAAATGTTTTCTAAAAACAGATGCGATTCAGAAGGGCATTAAAAAAAGACAGCATCAGTTACTACTGTACGTATTTTTTTCAGTAGAAATTTTCCTCCTTGAAAAATACTTTTGTAACTCTTGGTCACATTCAAATTGAGAGCTCTTTTCTGAAACCAACTTTCCGTCAGAACACTCTCTATTGTACTTTGGAGTCACTAGAATAAAGAGTTTTATTTTATTTATTTATAAATAAATATTTATATTTTTATTTATCTGAGGAGACAAACCACATGACAGAAAACATAGTGCAGGAGCTTCAAGATGCTAACACCTCACTCTGTTTCCTTCTCTCCACTCACAGCAATTCTGGGACGCCATTAAACACGGTAAATATTCAGGGATCAATACTCTGCTGAGGAACAATCCATCGGATAAAGCTGGGGTTTTCTGACTGGCTCTGGTTGGAGAGTGGCCCTGATGCTGGATCCCCACTTGGGGTGCGGGCTGGAGGTGCATGGAAGAGACTGATCTCCCAGGATAGAATAATGTCTTTATTCTATGGTACCTGGAAGCAACTACATCATTTAGATGCTGTGGGTTTGTGTGAATCGGGCTTGGGGGCCCATGTGTGGGCCCAGTGGTGTGATTCCGATGCTCTGTGTCTGTGTGTGTTTCCTCAGGAGATGTTTCCCTCTTACACAACACAAGTCACCTGTGAACGTTCTAAACACTTCTTATCACCACTGCACACTGACTATACATTACTTGATTCTTTCCTCAGCTCAGCGATTCCTCATGTTTGGTTAATATTCATTTTCCTCAATTGAAGAAGGTGCTGAGGACAATGGCCCAAGCTGTTGACAATTCTATGTTGAAAAGCCAAACTGAGAACCTAGGGGTGTTCCCAGTGTGACTGCTCTGGACCCCGGACCTTCACTTATCACTCAGCGTTGAAATCCTGGTCATGGAGCAAGGGCTCGCTGCATCTGTGCTTTTGCCTGGAGGTACTAGATCTCCAGAGATCCAGACCGTGTACATCATTGCAAGATGCTCTCAGTGGTCAAGGAACCCAGGGCAAATATAAGCAGATTATCACCAACTTTGGCACAGTCATTATCGTCAAAGGCACCTAGGGACTGACACCCTCCTGGTCAGTTCACAGAACTGGGAGTTGTATGCCCTGGTTTAGACAGGACAGGCCAAATCTGTTCGTGCTAGTGTCATTGCTTAACCAAGGACAAAAGCAGATTACTATAAGGGAGATATTTAATTGTACTGGGTGACAACACCATAAGCCTTAGGTCGGTTCAAGCCTACAGCACACTCTCAAGGGCAGGTGTCAAATAGATCTCATGGTGGAACTTGACAGTCTGCTTGGTGACTCGACTCTAGTAAACCTCCTGCATACCTGAGTCCAAGAAAGTCAGCGTTTGCCCCAGGCGTCCTCTCCATAGTGAACTGTCCCACTCAATGTATGGCTTCTCTGAGTGTCAGCAGACACTCATTCAGGGACGCGCAAATGTTGGTTGGACAATTAAGACTGGCAAGAAACATTACCTGAGTGATTCTAGCCTAATATCTCTTTGGCAAGTTAGAATTGAATTCAGTCCTCTAGCAGAGACTGCTTTTCATCAAGAATAAAATCTCTCCGAAAACTCAGTAAGTGCAATGGCTGTAACTGAATCCTGGGGAGGCAGTGATCTAGGAAGAAATCCTTCTGGATAGGTGTTGTTTTGCAGAAGACGTAAGCATGCAGGAGGTTCATGAGTCTCTGTCATTGAAAGGTGGCATGAATTTTAGTGTTTCCTATTTTCCGATCTGTGAGGTAATCACTAGTTAAAATGCAGAGGTTCTCTTTCACTATTTCCTGCTCCTCCAATTTGCTCTTATTTATGCAACAAAGAGGATGATTCAACAGCCACTCAGTCCCAAGTTACTAATGCCTTAAGCATACAGTCCACCCCATGCCCCCGCCCCCCAAGAAAGCTTCCTGAGTGGTTAGTGACCAGCTTCTCCTGTTCACCAATGTCTCTTCCTTGTCCCTCTAGCTCCCCAGGCGGATCTGGAAGAGGAAATATGCCACGACTTGACCGAGGTAAAGGCTCTGAGTACTGTAAGTGTACCTGCACCTTTCTTTATCTGTGATAAGATTGTTGCTTCACTTTATTAATTATTCAGACAAATAAAGTTATAGTCATCTGACAATTTACATTCCCACTGAGGCCTGTAATTCCTTGGCTGGGAAAAGAGTGCGGATAAATCTATTATCAACACAGACCTATTTCACAAGGACATTAAAAAAAGCATCATTTGCTACTGTAGGTACTTTGGTCAGCATAAAGTTCTCTTTCTTGTTTTTAATGTTTTCTGTTTTTCTTTCAAAGTACAATTTCTTGAAAAGCAATTTGTTATTGTTGGACACATTGAAATTGAGAGATCTTTTGTGAAACAGACTTTCCGCCAGTACACTCTCTGTTTTACTTTGGAGTCACTGGAAAAAAGAGATTTAGTTATCTGAGGAGACAAACCACATGACAGAATACTTAGTGCAGGAGGTTGAAGATGCTGACACCTCACTCTGTTTCCTTCTCTCCAGTCACAGGAATTCGGGGACGCCAGTGAACATGGTAAATATTCAGGGATCAACACTCTGCTGAGGTACAATCCATCTGATAAAGCTGGGGTTTTCTGACTGGCTCTGGTTGGAGAGTGGCGCTGAGGCTGGATCCCTACTTGGGGTGCGGGCTGGAGGTGCATGGAAGAGACTGATCTCCCAGGATAGAATAATATCTTTATTCTATGGTACCTGGAAGCAGCTGCATCATTTAGATGCTGTTGGTTTGTGTGAATCGGGCTTGGGGGCCCATGTGTGGGCCGAGTGGTGTGATTCTGATGCTCTGTGTCTGTGTGTGTTTCCTCAGGAGATGTTTCCCTCTTACACAGCACAAGTCACCTGTGAACTTTCTAAACACTTCTTATCACCACTGCACACTGACTATACATTACTTGATTCTTTCCTCAGCTCAGCCATTCCTCATGTTTGGTTAATATTCATTTTCCTCAATTGAAGAAGGTGCTGAGGACAATGGCCCAAGCTGTTGACAATTCTATGTTGAAAAGCCAAACTGAGAACCTAGGCGTGTTCCCAGTGTGACTGCTCTGGACCCCTGACCTTCACTTATCACTCAGCGTTGAAATCCTGGTCATGGGGCAAGGGCTGGCTGCATCTGTGCTTTTGCCTGGAGGTACTAGAGCTCCAGAGATCCAGACGGTGTACATCATCGCAAGACGGTCTCAGTGGTCAAGGAACCCAGGGCAAACATAAGCAGATTATCACCAACCTTGGCACAGTCATTATCGTCAAAGGCACCTAGGGACTGACATCCTCCTGGTCAGTTCACAGAACTGGGAGTTGTATGCCCTGGTTTAGACAGGACAGGCCAAATCTGTTCGTGCTAGTGTCATTGCTTAACCAAGGAGAAAAGCAGATTACCATCAGGGAGATATTTCATTGTACTGGGTGACAACACCATAAGCCTTAGGTCAGTTCAAGCCTACAGCACACTCTCAAGGGCAGGTGTCAAATAGATCTCATGGTGGAGCTTGACAGTCTGTTTGGTGACTTAACTCTAGTAAACCTCGTACATACCTGAGTCCAAGAAAATCAACGTTTGCCCCAGGCTTTCTCTCCATCGTGAACTGTCCCACTCAATGTATGGCTTCTCTGAGTGTCAGCAGACACTCATTCAGGGACGCGCAAATGTTGGTTGGACAATTAAGACTGGCAGGAAACATTACCTGAGTGATTCTAGCCTAATATCTCTTTGGCAAGTTAGAATTGAATTCAGTCCTCTAGCAGAGACTGCTTTTCATCAAGAACAAAATCTCTCTGAAAACTCAGTAAGTGCAATGGCTGTAACTGAATCCTGGGGAGGCAGTGATCTAGGAAGAAATCCTTCTGGATAGGTGTTGTTTTGCAGAAGATGTAAACATGCAGGAGGTTCATGAGTCTCTGTCATTGAAAGGTGGCATGCATTTTAGTGTTTATTTTCTGATCTCTGAGGTTATCACTAGTTTAAATGGAGAGGTTCTCTTACATTATTTCCTGCTCCTCCAATTTGCTCTTATTTATGCAACAGAGAGGATGATTCAACAGCCACTCAATCCGAAGTTACTAATGCCTTAAGCATACAGTCCACCCCATGCCCCCGCCCCCCAAGAAAGCTTCCTGAGTGGTTAGTGACCAGCTTCTCCTGTTCACCAATATCTCTTCCTTGTCCCTCTAGCTCCCCAGGCGGATCTGGAAGAGGAAACATGCCACGACTTGACCGAGGTAAAGGCTCTGAGTACTGTGAGTATACCTGCACCTTTCTTTATCTGTGATAAGATTGTTGCTTCACTTTATTTCTTATTCAGACAAATACAGTTATAGTCATCTGACAATTTACATTCCCACTGAGGCATGTAATTCCTTGGCTGGGAAAAGTGTGAGGATAAATCTATTATCAACACAGACCTATTTCACAAGGACATTAAAAAAAGACAGCATCATTTACTACTGTAGGTACTTTGGTCAGCATAAAGTTCTCTTTCTTTTTTTAAATGTTTTCTGTTTTTCTTTCAAAGTTCAATTTCTTGAAAAGCAATTTGTTATTGTTGGACACATTGAAATTGAGAGATCTTTTGTGAAACAGACTTTCCGCCAGTACACTCTCTGTTTTACTTTGAAGTCATTGGAAAAAAGAGTTTTAGTTATCTGAGGAGACAAACCACATGACAGAATACTTAGTGCAGGAGGTGGAAGATGCTGAAACCTCACTCTGTTTCCTTCTCTCCAGTCACAGGAATTCGGGGATGCGAGTGAACATGGTAAATATTCAGGGATCAACACTCTGCTGAGGTACAATCCATCGGATAAAGCTGGGGTTTTCTGACTGGCTCTGGTTGGAGAGTGGTGCTGATTCTGGATCCCTACTTGGGGTGCGGGCTGGAGGTGCATGGAAGAGACTGATCTCCCAGGATAGAATAATATCTTTATTCTATGGTACCTGGAAGCAGCTACATCATTTAGATGCTGTGGGTTTGTGTGAATCGGGCTTGGGGGCCCATGTGTGGGCCGAGTGGTGTGATTCTGATGCTCTGTGTCTGTGTGTGTTTCCTCAGGAGATGTTTCCCTCTTACACAGCACAAGTCACCTGTGAACTTTCTAAACACTTCTTATCACCACTGCACACTGACTATACATTACTTGATTCATTCCTCAGCTCAGCCATTCCTCATGTTTGGTTAATATTCATTTTCCTCAATTGAAGAAGGTGCTGAATACAATGGCCCAAGCTGTTGACAATTCTATGTTGAAAAGCCAAACTGAGAACCTAGGGGTGTTCCCAGTGTGACTGCTCTGGACCCCTGACCTTCACTTATCACTCAGCGTTGAAATCCTGGTCATGGGGCAAGGTCTGGCTGCATCTGTGCTTTTGCCTGGAGGTACTAGAGCTCCAGAGATCCAGACCGTGTACATCATCGCAAGACGGTCTCAGTGGTCAAGGAACCCAGGGCAAACATAAGCAGATTATCACCAACTTTGGCACAGTCATTATCGTCAAAGGCACCTAGGGACTGACATCCTCCTGGTCAGTTCACAGAACTGGGAGTTGTATGCCCTGGTTTAGACAGGACAGGCCAAATCTGTTCCTGCTAGTGTCATTGCTTAACCAAGGAGAAAAGCAGATTACCATCAGGGAGATATTTCATTGTACTGGGTGACAACACCATAAGCCTTAGGTCAGTTCAAGCCTACAGCACACTCTCAAGGGCAGGTGTCAAATAGATCTCATGGTGGAGCTTGACAGTCTGTTTGGTGACTTAACTCTAGTAAACCTCGTGCATACCTGAGTCCAAGAAAGTCAACGTTTGCCCCAGGCTTTCTCTCCATCGTGAACTGTCCCACTCAATGTATGGCTTCTCTGAGTGTCAGGAGAGACTCATTCAGGGACGCGCAAATGTTGGTTGGACAATTAAGACTGGCAAGAAACATTACCTGAGTGATTCTAGCCTAATAGCTCTCTGGCAAGTTAGAATTGAATTCAGTCCTCTAGCAGAGACTGCTTTTCATCAAGAACAAAATCTCTCCGAAAACTCAGTAAGTGCAATGGCTGTAACTGAATCCTGGGGAGGCAGTGATCTAGGAAGAAATCCTCTGGATAAGTGTTGTTTTGCAGAATACGTAAACATGCAGGAGGTTCATGAGTCTCTTTCATTGAAAGGTTGCATGCATTTTAGTGTTTCTTATTTTCCGATCTGTGAGGTAATCACTAGTTAAAATGCAGAGGTTCTCTTTCACTATTTCCTGCTCCTCCAATTTGCTCTTATTTATGCAACAAAGAGGATGATTCAACAGCCACTCAGTCCCAAGTTACTAATGCCTTAAGCATACAGTCCACCCCATGCCCCCGCCCCCCAAGAAAGATTCCTGAGTGGTTAGTGACCAGCTTCTCCTGTTCACCAATGTCTCTTCCTTGTCCCTCTAGCTCCCCAGGCGGATCTGGAAGAGGAAACATGCCACGACTTGACCGAGGTAAAGGCTCTGAGTTCTGTGAGTGTACCTGCACCTTTCTTTATCTGTGATAAGATTGTTGCTTCACTTTATTTGTTATTCAGACAAATACAGTTATAGTCATCTGACAATTTGCATTCCCACTGAGGCATGTAATTCCTTGGCTGGGAAAAGAGTGAGGAGAAATCTATTATCAACACAGACCTATTTCACAAGGACATTAAAAAAAGACAGCATCATTTACTACTGTAGGTACTTTGGTCAGCATAAAGTTCTCTTTCTTTTTTTGAATGTTTTCTGTTTTTCTTTCAAAATTCTCTTTCTTGAAAAGCAATGTGTTATTGTTGGACACATTGAAATTGAGAGATCTTTTGTGAAACAGACTTTCCGCCAGGACACTCTCTGTTGTACTTTGGAGTCAGTGGAATAAAGAGTTTTAGTTATCTGAGGAGACAAACCACATGACAGAATACTTAGTGCAGGAGGTTGAAGGTGCTGACACTTCACTCTGTTTCCTTCTCTCCAATCACAGGAATTCTGGGATGCAAGTGAACACGGTAAATATTCAGGGATCAACACTCTGCTGAGGTACAATCCATCTGATAAAGCTGGGGTTTTCTGACTGGCTCTGGTTGGAGAGTGGCCCTGATGCTGGATCCCTACTTGGGGTGCGGGCTGGAGGTGCATGGAAGAGACTGATCTCCCAGGATAGAATAATGTCTTTATTCTATGGTACCTGGAAGCAACTACATCATTTAGATGCTGTGGGTTTGTGTGAATCGGGCTTGGGGGCCCATGTGTGGGCCCAGTGGTGTGATTCTGATGCTCTGTGTCTGTGTGTGTTTCCTCAGGAGATGTTTTCCTCCTACAAAGCACAAGTCACCTGTGAACTTTCTAAACACTTCTTATCACCACTGCCCACTGACTATACATTACTTGATTCTTTCCTCAACTCAGCCATTCCTCATGTTTGGTTAATATTCATTTTCCTCAATTGAAGAAGGTGCTGAGGACAATGGCCCAAGCTGTTGACAATTCTATGTTGAAAAGCCAAACTGAGAACCTAGGCGTGTTCCTAGTGTGACTGCTCTGGACCCCTGACCTTCACTTATCACTCAGCGTTGAAATCCTAGACATGGGGCAAGGGCTCCCTGCATCTGTGCTTTTGCCTGGAGGTTCTAGAGCTCCAGAGATCCAGACCGTGTACATCATTGCAAGATGGTCTCAGTGGTCAAGGAACCCAGGGCAAACATAAGGAGATTATCACCAACTTTGGCACAGTCATTATTGTCAAAGCACCTAGGGACTGACAACCTCCTGGTCAGTTCACAGAACTGGGAGTTGTATGCCCTGGTTTAGACAGGACAGGCCTAATCTGTTCGTGCTAGTGTCACTGCTTAACCAAGGACAAAAGCAGATTACCATCAGGGAGGTATTTCATTATACTGGGTTACAACACCATAAGCCTTAGGTCGGTTCAACCCTGCAGCACACTCTCAAGGGAAGGTGTCAAATAGATCTCATGGTTGAACTTGACAGTCTGCTTGTTGACTCGACTCTAGTAAACCTCGTACATACCTGAGTCCAGGAAATTCAACGTTTACCCCATGCTTCTTCTCCATAGTGAACTGTCCCACTCAATGTATGGCTTCTCTGAGTGTCAGCAGACACTCATTCAGGGACGCGCAAATATTGGTTGGACAATTAAGACTGGCAAGAAACGTTACCTGAGTGGTCCTAGCTTAATAGCTATTTGGCAAGTTAGAATTGAATTCTCTCCTCTAGCAGAGACTGCTTTTCATCAAGAACAAAGTCTCTCAGGAAACTCAATAAGTGCAATAGCTGTAACTGAATCCTGGGGAGGCAGTGATCTAGGAAGAAATCCTTCTGGATAGGTGTTGTTTTGCAGAAGATGTAAACACGCAGGAGGTTCCTGAGTCTCTGTCATTGAAAGGTGGCATGCATTTTCCTTTTAATTTTTTTCCGATCTGTTAGGTTATAACTAGTTAAAATGCAGAGGTTCTCTTTCACTATCTCCTGCTCCACCGATGTGCTCTTATTTATGCAACAAAGAGGATGATTCAACAGGCTCTCAGTCCCCAGTTACTAATTCCTTTACCATACAGTCCAGCCCATGCCCCCGCCCCCCAAGAAAGTTTCCTGAGTGATTGATGAGCAGCTTCTCCTGTGCGCCAATGTCTCTTCCTTGTCCCTCTAGCTCCCTGGGAGAATCTGGAAGAGGCAACATTCCACGACTTGACTGAGGTAAAGGCTCTGAGTACTGTGAATGTAACTGCACCTTTCTTTATCTGTGATAAGATTGTTGCTTCACTTTATTTGTTATTCAGACAAATACAGTTATAGTCATCTGATAATTTGCATTCCCACTGAGGCATGTAATTCCTTGGCTGGGAAAAGAGTGAGGATAAATCTATTATCAACACAGACCTATTTCACAAGGACATTAAAAAAAGCATCATTTACTACTGTAGGTACTTTGGTCAGCATAAAGTTCTCTTTCTTGTTTTTAATGTTTTCTGTTTTTCTTTCAAAGTTCAATTTCTTGAAAAGCAATGTGTTATTGTTGGACACATTGAAATTGAGAGATCTTTTGTGAAACAGACTTTCCGCCAGGACACTCTCTGTTGTACTTTGGAGTCACTGGAATAAAGAGTTTTAGTTATCTGAGGAGACAAACCACATGACAGAATACTTAGTGCAAGAGATTGAAGATGCTGACACCTCACTCTGTTTCCTTCTCTCCAGTCACAGGAATTCGGGGACGTGAGTGAACACGGTAAATATTCAGGGATCAACACTCTGCTGAGGTACAATCCATCTGATAAAGCTGGGGTTTTCTGACTGGCTCTGGTTGGAGAGTGGCCCTGATGCTGGATCCCTACTTGGGGTGCGGGCTGGAGGTGCATGGAACAGACTGATCTCCCAGGATAGAATAATGTCTTTATTCTATGGTACCTGGAAGCAACTACATCATTTAGATGCTGTGGGATTGTGTGAATCGGGATTGGGGGCCCATGTGTGGGCCCAGTGGTGTGATTCTGATGCTCTGTGTCTGTGTGTGTTTCCTCAGGAGATGTTTCCCTCTTACACAGCACAAGTCACCTGTGAACTTTCTGAACACTTCTTATGACCACTGCACACTGACTATACATTACTTGATTCATTCCTCAGCTCAGCCATTCCTCATGTTTGGTTAATATTCATTTTCCTCAATTGAAGAAGGTGCTGAGGACAATGGCCCAAGCTGTTGACAATTCTATGTTGAAAAGCCAAACTGAGAACCTAGGGGTGTTCCCAGTGTGACTGCTCTGGACCCCTGACCTTCACTTATCACTCAGCGTTGAAACCCTGGTCATGGGGCAAGGGCTGGCTGCATCTGTGCTTTTGCCTGGAGGTACTAGAGCTCCAGAGATCCAGACCATGTACATCATTGCAAGACGGTCTCAGTGGTCAAGGAACCCAGGGCAAACATAAGCAGATTATCACCAACTTTGGCACAGTCATTATCGTCAAAGGCACCTAGGGACTGACAACCTCCTGGTCGGTTCACAGAACTGGGAGTTGTATGCCCTGGTTTAGACAGGACAGGCCAAATCTGTTCGTGCTAGTGTCATTGTTTAACCAAGGACAAAAGCAGATTACCATCAGGGAGATATTTCATTGTACTGGGTGACAACACCATAAGCCTTAGTTCGGTTCAACCCTGCAGCACACTCTCAAGGGCAGGTGTCAAATAGATCTCATGGTGGAACTTGACAGTCTGCTTAGTGACTCGACCCTGGTAAACCTCGTGCATACCTGAGTCCAAAAAATTCAGCGTTTACCCCGTGCTTCCTCTCCATCGTGAACTGTCCCACTCAATGTATGGCTTCTCTGAGTGTCAGCAGACACTCATTCAGGGACGCGCAAATGTTGGTTGGACAATTAAGACTGGCAGGAAACATTACCTGAGTGATTCTAGCCTAATATCTCTTTGGCAAGTTAGAATTGAATTCAGTCCTCTAGCAGAGACTGCTTTTCATCAAGAACAAAATCTCTCTGAAAACTCAGTAAGTGCAATGGCTGTAACTGAATCCTGGGGAGGCAGTGATCTAGGAAGAAATCCTTCTGGATAGGTGTTGTTTTGCAGAAGATGTAAACATGCAGGAGGTTCATGAGTCTCTGTCATTGAAAGGTGGCATGCATTTTAGTGTTTCTTATTTTCTGATCTCTGAGGTTATCACTAGTTAAAATGGAGAGGTTCTCTTACATTATTTCCTGCTCCTCCAATTTGCTCTTATTTATGCAACAGAGAGGATGATTCAGCAGCCACTGAATCCCAAGTTACTAATGCCTTAAGCATACAGTCCACCCCATGCCCCCGCCCCCCAAGAAAGCTTCCTGAGTGGTTAGTGACCAGCTTCTCCTGTTCACCAATGTCTCTTCCTTGTCCCTCTAGCTCCCCAGGAGGTTTTGGAAGAGGCAACATGCCACGACTTGACTGAGGTAAAGACTCTGAGTACTGTGAATGTAACTGCACCTTTCTTTATCTGTGATAAGATTGTTGCTTCACTTTATTTGCTATTCAGACAAATACAGTTATAGTCATCTGATAATTTGCATTCCCACTGAGGCATGTAATTCCTTGGCTGGGAAAAGAGTGAGGATAAATCTATTATCAACACAGACCTATTTCACAAGGACATTAAAAAAAGACAGCATCGTTTACTACTGTAGGTACTTTGTTCAGCATAAAGTTCTCTTTCTTGTTTTTAATGTTTTCTTTTTTTTTTTTTTTTTTTGAAAGTTCTCTTTCTTGAAAAGCAGGGTGTTATAGTTGGACACATTGAAATTGAGAGATCTTTTGTGAAACAGACTTTCCGCCAGGACACTCTCTGTTGTACTTTGGAGTCACTGGAAAAAAGAGTTTTAGTCATCTGAGGAGACAAACCACATGACAGAATACTTAGTGCAGGAGGTTGAAGATGCTGACACTTCACTCTGTTTCCTTCTCTCCAATCACAGGAATTCTGGGACGCAAGTGAACACGGTAAATATTCAGGGATCAACACTCTGCTGAGGTACAATCCATCGGATAAAGCTGGGGTTTTCTGACTGGCTCTGGTTGGAGAGTGGCCCTGATGCTGGATCCCTACTTGGGGTGCGGGCTGGAGGTGCATGGAAGAGACTGATCTCCCAGGATAGAATAATGTCTTTATTCTATGGTACCTGGAAGCAACTACATCATTTAGATGCTGTGGGTTTGTGTGAATCGGGCATGGGGGCCCATGTGTGGGCCCAGTGGTGTGATTCTGATGCTCTGTGTCTGTGTGTGTTTCCTCAGGAGATGTTTTCCTCCTACACAGCACAAGTCACCTGTGAACTTTCTAAACACTTCTTATCACCACTTCCCACTGACTATACATTACTTGATTCTTTCCTCAGCTCAGCCATTCCTCACGTTTGGTTAATATTCATTTTCCTCAAGTGAAGAAGGTGCTGAGGACAATGGCCCAAGCTGTTGACAATTCTATGTTGAAAAGACAAACTGAGAACCTAGGTGTGTTCCCACTGTGACTGCTCTGGACCCCTGACTTTCACTTATCACTCAGCGTTGAAAGCCTAGTCATGGGGTAAGGGCTGGCTGCATCTGTGCTTTTGCCTGGAGGTACTAGAGCTCCAGAGATCCAGACCGTGTGCATCATTGCAAGGTGGTCTCAGTGGTCAACGAACCCAGGGCAAATATAAGCAGATTATCACGAACTTTAGCACAGTCATTACTGTCAAAGGCACCTAGGGACTGACATCCTCCTAGTCAGTTCACAGAACTGGGAGTTGTATGCCCTGGTTTAGACAGGACAGGCCAAATCTGTTCGTGCTAGTGTCATTGCTTAACCAAGGACAAAAGCAGATTACCATCAGGGAATATTTCATTGTACTGGGTGACAACACCATAAGCCTTAGGTCGGTTCAGCCCTGCAGCACACTCTCAAGGGAAGGTGTCAAGTAGATCTCCTGGTGGAACTTGACAGTCTGCTTGGTGACTCGACTCTAGTAAACTTCGTGCATACCTGAGTCCAAGGAAGTCAGCGTTTGCCCCAGGCTTTCTCTCCATAGTGAACTGTCCCACTCAATGTATGGCTTCTCTGAGTGTCAGCAGACACTCATTCAGGGACGCGCTAATGTTGGTTGTACAATTAAGAATGGCAAGAAACATTACCTGAGTGGTTCTAGCTTAATAGCTATTTGGCAAGTTAGAATTGAATTCAGTCCTCTAGAGGAGACTCCTTTTCATCAAGAACAAAGGCTCTCAGAAAACTCAGTAAGTGCAATAGCTGTAACTGAATCCTGAGGAGGCAGTGATCTAGGAAGAAATCCTTCTGGATAGGTGTTGTTTTGCAGAAGATATAAACACGCAGAAGGTTCCTGACTCTCTGTCATTGAAAGGTGGCATGCATTTTAGTGTTTCTTATTTTCCGATCTGTGAGGTAATCACTAGTTAAAATGCAGATGTTCTCTTTCACTATTTCCTGCTCCTCCAATTTGCTCTTATTTATGCAACAAAGAGGATGATTCAACAGCCACTCAGTCCCAAGTTACTAATGCCTTAAGCATACAGTCCACCCCATGCCCCCGCCCCCCAAGAAAGCTTCCTGAGTGGTTAGTGACCAGCTTCTCCTGTTCACCAATGTCTCTTCCTTGTCCCTCTAGCTCCCCATGCGGATCTGGAAGAGGCAACATGCCACGACTTGACTGAGGTAAAGGCACTGAGTACTGTGAATGTAACTGCACCTTTCTTTATCTGTGATAAGATTGTTGCTTCACTTTATTTGTTATTCAGACAAATACAGTTATAGTCATGTGACAATTTGCATTCCCACTGAGGCATGTAATTCCTTGGCTGGGAAAAGAGTGAGGATAATTCTATTATCAACACAGACCTAATTCACAAGGACATTAAAAAAAGACAGCATCATTTACTACTGTAGGTACTTTGCTCAGCATAAAGTTCTCTTTCTTGTTTTTAATGTTTTCTTTTTTTTTTTTTTTGAAAGTTCTCTTTCTTGAAAAGCAGTGTGTTATAGTTGGACACATTGAAATTGAGAGATCTTTTGTGAAACAGACTTTCCGCCAGGACACTCTCTGTTGTACTTTGGAGTCACTGGAATAAAGAGTTTTAGTTATCTGAGGAGACAAACCACATGACAGAATCCTTAGTGCAGGAGGTTGAAGATGCTGACACCTCACTCTGTTTCCTTCTCTCCAATCACAGGAATTCTGGGACGCAAGTGAACACGGTAAATATTCAGGGATCAACACTCTGCTGAGGTACAATCCATCTGATAAAGCTGGGGTTTTCTGACTGGCTCTGGTTGGAGAGTGGCCCTGATGCTGGATCCCTACTTGGGGTGCGGGCTGGAGGTGCATGGAAGAGACTGATCTCCTGGGATAGAATAATGTCTTTATTCTATGGTACCTGGAAGCAACTAAATCATTTAGATGCTGTGTGTTTGTGTGAATCGGGCATGGGGGCCCATGTGTGGGCCCAGTGGTGTGATTCTGATGCTCTGTGTCTGTGTGTGTTTCCTCAGGAGATGTTTTCCTCCTACACAGCACAAGTCACCTGTGAACTTTCTAAACACTTCTTATCGCCACTGCCCACTGACTATACATTACTTGATTCTTTCCTCAGCTCAGCCATTCCTCATGTTTGGTTAATATTCATTTTCCTCAAGTGAAGAAGGTGCTGAGGACAATGGCCCAAGCTGTTGACAATTCTATGTTGAAAATCCAAACTGAGAACCTAGGTGTGTTCCCACTGTGACTGCTCTGGACCCCTGACCTTCACTTATCACTCAGCGTTGAAAGCCTAGTCATGGGGCAAGGGCTGGCTGCATCTGTGCTTTTGCCTGGAGGTTCTAGAGCTCCAGAGATCCAGACCGTGTACATCATTGCAAGACGGTCTCAGTGGTCAAGGAACCCAGGGCAAATATAAGCAGATTATTACCAACTTTGGCACAGTAATTATCGTCAAAGGCCCCTAGGGACTGACATCCTCCTAGTCAGTTCACAGAACTGGGAGTTGTATGCCCTGGTTTAGACAGGACAGGCCAAGTGTGTTCATGCTAGTTTCATTGCTTAACCAAGGACAAAAGCAGATTACCATCAGGGAGATATTTAATTGTACTGGGTGACAACACCATAAGCCTTAGGTCAGTTCAACCCTGCAGCACACTCTCAAGGGCAGGTGTCAAATAGATCTCATGGTGGAACTTGACAGTCTGCTTGGTGTCTTGCCTCTAGTAAACCTCGTGCATACCTGAGTCCAAGAAAGTCAACGTTTGCCCCAGGCTTTCTCTCCATAGTGAACTGTCCCACTCAATGTATGGCTTCTCTGAGTGTCAGCAGACACTCATTCAGGGACACGCAAATGTTGTTTGGACAATTAAGACTGGCAAGAAACGTTACCTGAGTCGTTCTAGCTTAATAGCTATTTGGCAAGTTAGAATTGAATTCTGTCCTGTAGTAGAGACTGCTTTTCATCAAGAACAAAGTCCCTTAGAAAACTCAGTAAGTGCAATAGCTATAACTGAATCCTGGGGAGGCAGTGATGTAGGAAGATGTCCTTCTGGATAGGTGTTGTTTTGCAGAAGATATAAACACACAGGAGCTTCCTGAGTCTCTGTCATCGAAAGATGGCATGCATTTTAGTGTTTCTTGTTTTCCAAAAATGCCGATGTTCTCTTTCATTTCTTTCATGCTCCTCTCATTTTTACTCCTTCATCTAGCAAAAAGGATGATTCATCAGCAGCTTATTACATATTTAGTTAGCTCCCTCATGCATACTCTACACCCCTTGTCCATCTCAAAAAAGAGTAAAAGCTGAGTGATTGTTGAATAGCCTCACCAGTGTCCTAACAGCTACTCTGTCCCTGTAACTCCCGAGGAATACGTTGTGGAGGAACTGTGCTTTCTATAATCAACTGTCCCACTCAACCGATGGCCCCTGTGCATATGGACAACTACTGGATCAGTGGAAATTCACACACTTTATAGAAAATGAATATTGATAGATAAATTCTGTATTATTCATAATGGCTATTTTTAAGTGCTAGGAATTCAGAAATATAAAATCTTGTGTATTTGCTTTTCTTTAAGACAATTAATTAGTGAATTAATAGCATAGTATACTTTGCCAGGATTGAATTCAGTCCTGTAACCGAGTTTACTTTAAATCAATTACAAAACCTTATAGAAGTCATGATGAACAGAGTAGCAGCAACTGTGGATCTCAGAGGAAGAGTGATCTGGGAAAAATCAAGAGACAGTGGCAATTTACCCGAAGCTCACAATGAGCAGGAGCAGTCATGGTCTCTCTCACTGAACAGTACTTACATTTTAGAGTTTTCCATGTTTTAGGTTGAATATTTCCTGTTGATTAGGCTCCTCTAGCTAGAAGGCCAACGATCTGCATTCATTTCCTTCCACCTCTCCTTTACTTTCCTTCCTCCTCCAAAGAGGATGGATGAACACAAGTTCAGTCCATGCTTATTAACCTCCCACATCCATACACACCACCCCATGTCCACACAAAGAGAAAACCCCCTGCATGATTCCTGAGCAGCCTCACCGCTGTTCTAACAGCTACTCTGTGTCCCTCTAGGTTTCACTGAGGACCTGCCAGTCAACCCAGCTTGTGACAAGACAGAGGAGACTCCATGTGCCTCCAAGGAAAGATTTTTTTCCTTTTTTCTGGTCTGAAATAGAAATATTGTTTCCTTTCTTTTTAAGTACAATTAAGTTGTGCATCTTTGAAGGTGTTCCTTTCAGACAGAGGCGATTTCCTTGGTTGGGATAATGTGAAGTGATATACTTATTACCAAATCATGATGCCTCAGTCCACAGGATATTAAAATTGTTAGCATCCATTACACCCTGTAGAGTACAGAGTTCTCTCTCCTGCAGCAAGATTTCCTCTAAGAAAAGAATTCTGCAATTTCCAATCCAAATGAACTTGGAAGTTCCATCCTCCAGGCAAAGGTCTTGCCT